CTCCTTGAGATGCTGCCAAACTGCCCGGTACCTTCTAGGGCCTTATTATTACACTGTTTCAGTAAGTTAAATCACATAACTGCGGGAGACGTAGCATATGTAGGTTTTAAACTATAAAAATTGGCATTTACAAACATTTTTCTGACCATATCCAAAAATCGTGGTTTATCATAATTCACAGGTGCTCTAGGAATGTAACCCTCGTGAATTTCGGGAGTCCACTGTAGATGCGCACACATAATAAGTATTATACATGTGTGCCTACAGTCACCCGTTCATTATAAGGTGGGGGGAGGAGTTGGGAGAGGACGAGGGAGAGAGAGGCAAGGGCCTGCCTTGCATGTCAGCACCCTTGAACGTGGTGCCCGTGAGAAGCGCCTGCGAAGCCTCCCGTGCCTCACTCACTGACTTTACTTTGAGAGCAGATTCCCCTAAGCAGGGTTTCAGTGAAACGTTCTTTCCCTCTCTTTAAAGCTTTCTGGAGTTTGACCCTCTATTTCTCTAATCTCCCTAAACATTATTTTTGTCAGTTTCTCAGATCCTAATTGTTCAAATTGATGTGAATAAGGTCTTTGGGGCCACTCTTCTTACGTATTCAGCCCTCAAATTTCTCCACTGCCAAGATGCCGCGCAGGGTCGCCTCTGTGCGGCGCATCGTCCTGTCTCCCTGGATGCACATCCCGCTGTGGCCACCAGCGGTTTCCGCCTCTCTACCGAAAGAAACCTACTGTGCTTCCCTTACCTTTGTAAATTCTGTAGGTTTCAGGTTTTCATCAGTAATGGGATAAGAAATGTCCCAGTCTCTTGCATAAATCAGTATATGTAAAGGTTGTATATGAATAATGTCTAACATATAAGCCAGAGAATTTGGATTAATAATGAAGAAAATGAAATCTAGGGTGAGCCCCAGTTAAGTAGTGATAAGTAGCCATTGCAAGGCCACAGGCTTCATGTTTTCTTTATGTATTGAGCTCTTGAAAGGTTACAGTACAGTAAAATGGCTAAAGCACTATTTTATACAGTGTAACTTTTTGGCAACATCTGTTCTTACATTGTCTATTGTCTCAGGGAGGAAGAGAGGCAGGAGCAGACTTCTGAGTGCTGGATCCCCCAGAAAAAGAGGTTGGCCAAAAGGTTAGAAGAAAACAAGTTTTTGACAAACATCTTAATTTTCATGCTTTATTTTAGCTGTTGGGAACAACCATTGAAAAATACATCCGATTTAGTGAATTTCCAAAATATGTCAAGGAAAGAAACGTAATGGCTCAACAACAGCAGCTTAGTGATGAAGCTATGATGTTAGCACAGGCCAGGATCCTGTACTGCTGCCTCCGCTCAGCTGATGACTTTTAACTTTGGAAAAGCTGGGGGTGGGGGCACAACCTCACTGTAACTCACGAGTGACATAGCCATCCCTCCTCTGCCCACCATTCCGTGGTTATTGTGTGAATTTGGGTTAAGTCTGGGCCAGTGGGGTAACCCACCTTCCAACTATTTGTAAATAAAGCTTTATTGGAACATATTTACCTACCGCCTATGGGTGTTTTCAAGATGTAATTGCAGAACTGAGAAGTCCTAGCAGAGAATATGCAACACAAAACCAAATATTTATTGAATGTTTATTGTCTGGCCCTTTTTAGAAAAAAATCATGACTTCTGAGCATTTGATATTTTAAAAAATATTAGATGGGTTCTTAACAAATTAGCTACAAATAGTGTTTTCTTTTTTTTTTTTTTTTTTTCTTAAAGCACAGGGAGAGCTATAACCCTGAGGTAACTATCACAA